CAGACTGAGACACCTCAACTTATTTCCGTTATCTTACCGTAGAATACGGGGTGTTCTAATATTGGCTTATCGCATACTGAACGATGACCTTGGTATTAGCATGTCTTATTTTATACTTCCGTCTAGGACTGATCATTTGAGAGGACATTCGAAGAAAGTTCAAAAACCCAGATCAAATCGTTTACGTCTGGAGTTTCGTTTCTCGCACCAAGTAGTGAATTACTGGAATTCTCTACTGGAACACGTAATATCAGCACCTTCTGTTTATATATTCAAAAAGAGATTGGACCTCCACAGTATTACAAACTGCAAGGATTAATATAGGTCGACAGACCTCCTGTCCTTATTACTGAAGACTGAAGAACCATTCGAAACCATTTGAAACACTAAACGCGCTTCTTACTTCCATATGCGTTACAAATGAGTTCACCAAAGCGACGTTGTTTCAGACAACGGAACGCAAGTGAAAGCAGTACCGAAGATGAAATGTAAAACCTAACTGATCACTCAATCTCTTTTTCTAGTGTTGAGGGTGAAAAAAGTGGCGAATCCAGTGGACTTGAAGAGTATGAGAAAGAAGAGTTAACTCGTCAAAATGATTTAAAGGAACGTGATGCCTTCGTTAAACGTCTTGTTGACCGGGATCAGCAACAAACTAAAGGGGTTTCTTCTAGGTCCGCCAGTAAGCATGAGGAAGCTTTGAGAAAAATAACGAGTGGTGAAGTTGTATGTCCAGTTATCACAGCGTTCCTTAACGTTTCTCTAGAGTCGTGAAGAAATGATTGCCGAGCTGCGCAAAGCATCTAGACGAACATATCTGCGAAAAAGACAGTCTGACAAACTTGCAGATCTTCAAGCTGAAATCCAAGATGAAGAACTATTTTTTGAAAATGAAGAGTATGGAAGTGGATTTTTCCGTACTGAATTTCTAGATTAACTGAGAAGGAAAAGGCCGAACTATCATATAAGAAAACTATTTTGGCGGTTGCGAAATCCCATCAACAAGCAGGAGAACTGGAAAATATCTTTCGTTATTACATTCCTACTGAAGAAAAGGTATTCTTGTTTATTTTAACTTATTATGTTATCAGCGACCAGAAGATCACGAACTCAAAGGATCTGAAAGTAAATTAAATGATGAAGGCAAGAGATGGGAACAAGAACATCTTTCCTCGGCACTTTATTCTTTCGGTGCCAAAGATAAAGTTGAACAAGAAGTATGTTCGTTGTGTTATTACTTTTTAAGATCACTTTAGTGTTATGTGTTATTCTTAATCCAAAATCTCAGAGAAATTCGTTTCTTTAGGTTTCATACTACTTAGATGACACTAAATACTAGGACTGAAAACACAGGTTTCTGAATATTTCAGCAGTCCGTACACATGTACGTCCACAATTGTTAACCAAAATTTTTATTGCTACTGAGTGGGAGAGAAAATGTCGTAAATTTTAGCCATTCATAGTTAATCAAATTAACTCAGTAAAACATCTTCGGGTTAGTCATTATCGCCAACATTTAAAATAGTTAGAAGCTAAAATGTACACGAGAAATGTATCAATGGATGAAGTTAAAAACACTAGTATTACTTGTTCCGACCGGTCTCAAGGTTGCTACAGTTATCGTAATTATCCGTTTTTGGGTTTCTAACAATTATCTGTTATTTCTTAGGAACATAACCAACTGGCTCGGGGATTTAATAAATAAACCCAGCAGTAAAATCTCTGTGAGTTAGTATCATAGGTTGGCTGTGCTTGAGTTTAGTATAAAAGTCACTGTGTTAAAATTATTTTAAGTGGTAAACCCAGTCATTTCACTCTAAGTCTCATTCACATGTTGAATGCATATGTTTTATGAAGGTAGCATATATTACTCAACTATCCAAAAGCAAAACGCCCTTTTAAAAAATTGATTGACCACTGAATAGTGACCAATACTGTTATTGTCTGGTCCTTAATAGTAATCTAATTCTACCGACCAAATTGCGAATGTGGCCACTAGACTAAGTGAATCGACATCTTGTAGGCTGTTTCAATATTAAGTGGTTAAGGGTTGTTTGGAGAATTTCCTCCTGATTACCACCTAACCAGTTCTAATTTATTTTTGATGTAATCGGTTCCATTCACAAATTTAGGCCAGCCGATATTTTCAGGACATAATAAGTCGATTAGATCTCGCTTTCTCCTAAATTATGCACAAAATAGTAAGTTTATTTAGTTTGGAATATTAGGATAATTGTAATTTTAAGGAACAAGTTGTCCATCAGGAAAGAGTAAGTTGTTTACAATTAAATAAACTTACAACTGACGGTTTAAGGAAGCTTTCCACTAGTAAATGGAGCTTAGTTTTAGAGTACTAAAAATCATTTTGTTACATAGAATAAAGATATATATATATATATATATATACGAATTTATGAGTTTCACTCACTGCTTATTTATCCTAGTTAGCTGAAGGATAAGAAGAAACTGGTAATCATGTTATCCGTTTCTGTTACTAGGGAAGTTGGAATTCAGCCACTGAAATTTTGATTACAAAGATCATATTTATGTATTTTGATGACTATGGTTTGTCATGAATCCTAGCAAGCCAGAACTACACAGTTTGTTGGTAACCTCAAATGCATCTGTTGTATCCACTTATTGTTCCACGTCCAGCAAGTTACATATTACTAAACTATGGAGACTTTTTTGTTCTTGGAGACGTAGGTTTTTTGAAACATGCCTGATAAGTCGTGTAAATGCCTCTTTTCTGTCCTTCCGATATACCTTCTTCTGCACGTATGTGTAAATTAATATACGCACTTGTAGGTGACATTTGACAAGTTTCGGTTTACCCCTGCTTCCTCGAGCATCTTGTGTGTGGTGAAACTAATTTTGTTAATCATGACAGATGTTCATTACATCACCATACTGGCACTAAGTATTTATGACGATTTAGTATTAGTTAAACCAGACAACTTTGCAATTGCCTTATCAATTAATTGATCGAAATGTTAGCATTTCGAATTCATGACTGTCTTTCCTGCTTCCTTGAGTGGGATGCAAGGGATGTGTCTATCTCTTCAAATCCATAATAACTCAAACAACAAACATATCCAGTAATATTGGTTTGGCCTAAAATCTAGTTGGTCATCATAACTGACGTACACTTGCATCTCACTTACTACGGAACTGATTGTACGGCTTGGCAACTCCTTCCTAGTTTGTGCTGTTTTAGCTAGCTCAAAAATATAATTGAAGGTTTCATTTTTCTACTCCACCATTTCCAAGTCTATATAGTAGTCTTCAGTAGTGTAATGCAGTCAGCAGTGATCGTAACCACATGAATAAAGATTGAGTTGAGACAGCTAATTGAATTTATCAATCTAGTTTGTGGTGCTCCTAATTGTAAATAACGATTCATTAAACAGAGAGAAAATAAAAACAAACTCAGTGGTTTATCACGCAATCATCTTGAAGATTATGGAGAATGAAATATACTGACGCGTGGATTATATAGCTAACGACAACAGACAGTTGTAAGTATTCGAAAAGCTAGGTATTTTAAATATCTAGGTCATAGTATCACTTTTATCAACTAATCATTTGCCAAAACATGGAATTATGTTGTCCGTTGGCTTCGAACTCCCCCTTATTTTATCCACTGGTTATGAAGAATAAAGACAATTCGCTTACCAACGGGGTTGTTAGTGTCACTGGACATTTAAAGGTACTTTGTTTCTTTGAACGGTAGAAAAAAGTGGATCAGGATAATATTTTCAAAAGGTTTAGTAGACGCACATTTCTTCACAAATACAAGTCACTTTTTGATTAACATAAAGAATGTTCCCATTGGTCAGGTATTTTCTACATACACACAGCTTTAGTGATCACCCTTTGGTACAGACAGTGCTTCAAAGTTGAATAATAACTTAAAGTATGGTTAGTATTCTTTGGGTTTTAGGAAGGTTGCAAAGCCGGCTGGATTGTTTTCTATGTATAGTAGGGAGTAGTTAAAATGACAATTTATGGTTAGTTACAGAAGCGCAAAATAATCACCCGCTTAAAAAAGGTAGCCAAAAAAGGTTTTAGTGATAAGTATGTAATCAGTGTTTTAATCACTGACAAAATTTGTACTAATACGAAACACAAAAATTCAACGAAGTTTTCTTCTTAAACTTCATAATTAAATATAAACATTGTACATATTCTGCAAATTATTTGTTCATACAATTTGATTGAGGACAGTAGTTATATCATAAGCTAGGTAGTTTTGACACATCAACAAATACCAGTATTATCAATTTACTAAATTGACTGGTGTAGTAAAAGTCAACAAACAGAATATAAATATAAAATGAAAATAAAAACAAGGATATGGTATGAGGAGAAATTAGAACATTATGTGGTAGCAAAATATGCAGTGATCAGTTTTGGCGTCTAATCTTTGATATACACATAGGTGGTTATATTTTGTTTTGAATTCCCTCTCATTAATCACTCAGCTTCAAATTATGAATACTGACTTTCATAGAAAGTGATCTGTTTTAATAAAAATATTAATACGGTCAAATATTTTAACATGGGGTCAGTAATTCGATGCATCTATCGAGGAGTAAGTATACTGAGCAGAAACTCATTCTGCTCTATTTTATGGTTATGGATTGTGGAATTTTGAAGTAAAAGACACAGACTGCTAGTATTTTTCCATATATATATATATATATATATATATATATATATATATATATATATATATATATATATATATATATATATATATATATATATATATATATATATATATATATATAATGCTTAATGACATATGGTGGAATTGTTAAGTGGGAAGTATTAGATGACTCATACAGCATTAGTTTTAGATGGTATTCTGGTTAGTGAGTTTGTAGTGTATCCAATAGTCATTGTCATTTCATTTTAATTGTGTGACGGCTATGATATTGCTCGGGTGCCCAGACAAAAGCAAGTGGTTTTCTTAGGGGGTCACACCGCATGCCGTTGACCTAAAGGTCTGACCCACAAGGCAGTGGAGCATCGTGAGGAGATGCAGTCCCATGGAATCCGGTGGCTAACAATTGGTTCATACACTATTTGCTTCCTCAGGATCGGGGTTTTCCAACTCCCCTAGGTGGACTCACCGTGCCCACCGGCCCGGTTAAAACACCGGACATTCACTTTTCGTCCTCTCAGTTTTGTAGACAACACCCCCGCCACGAGAAGACAGTGAAGACTTCTCTGGCAGAGGCTATATACGCGTGGCCGTGTGAGAGCATTTCGAGAGGCCGTACCAGGGCATTTGGGGGCCATATATATATGGTGCCCCCTTGTGCCAATATTTGTGTTCAAATAAATAATAAATAAACAAAATAATGAGTTTGTGGACCTTCATCGACTGAGAAGTTTGAGATGTATTGTGCATGTCCAGTCATCTCTTACACAGGCATGCTATGCTGGCCAGTGTAAGATTAAATAGAGGGTCAGAAACAGCGAGATCAAGACGCAGCTTCAGTTCATGAAATTGTTAACTAATTGACTCAGTCAGTCAGCAACAACGTACGTACATCAGTTCAAGTTGCCATACCACATTAGCACAGAGATACAATTGCGATTCAAATTCTATAGTGGTAGAAGTAGTCAAAGTATAAGCAGTAATCCGAAAGATTAAAGTTTGAAGATGTTATTCGAGGAGTATAATCCAGTGAAATAAATTTGGAAAGGGAAAAAAGGGAAATGAAGAATTCAGAAGATTAGAATTTGGGAGAACACAAAGAGTGGATGTGCCTGCGTCATTGCAAACGATTTTGAGCCATGTCATTCAAGGTCTCTAACCATCGGTTGCTATCGACTCGTGGATCCCAACCAGGTAGTCTACACCTACCAACATGGCTCAGTTCACTTGTCAGTGACTTCATGCTTTAGTGCCATGTTTTGATATGACCACTCATAGCTTCCAGTCTACTCCTTCACCTCAAAACATCGCTTGTCGGGGCAGTCGGTGGTTGGGCATACGTAATACATGTCCCAGCCATCTTAACTGACTGATCTTATTGAGGTCCTTAGAATAAACATAATTTGTGACTGGCAACGTTAGACAATATAGATCAAATTCATTTAGCAGTTTTCTAGATGTGTTTACTTATTACCCTTTAAATTTTGAGTTTTAATGATATTTCATACTTCCCATTTTTGCTCTCATTAATCGTTCTCGAACTGTGTCCTCTGTATTATCTTTTTGCTACCACTAATACGATCACTTAGGCTCCTTTGTTTTTTATTTGATTAGTTTTTCCTCGATAATGTTGTAAAGTGTGGTAAGTTGAACCGATACATATTTTTGATAAATCTTACGTTAATAATTCCTGATGTAACCTGGAAATTGTATCAACACTAATCGAGGTGGTTATGGTGTAGATTCTATTTAACTTTATTATTATTGTTTTGAACTTCGTAATTTACCCATAGTGACAAATGAGCGTGTTTTTGTATTTTTAGGTGAAATATGATCTTGTTTTGGATGATGAAATAGAGTTTTTAAAAACACTAACTCGACCCGGTGCCAACATTGAACAAGAAGTCAGTCTAGACGAAGAGCAAAAACGAAAAGCTACTGACAAACGTGAAGCCCTCAAGGAAGCAAAACGCTCGCTCCCGATCTATAAATTCCGGGATGCTCTTTTACAAGCTATTGCTGATCATCAGGTTTTAATCATAGAAGGTGAAACAGGTTCTGGTAAAACAACTCAAATTCCTCAGTATTTGTACGAAGCGGTATGCTTATCGTAACATCTTTATTTATTTATAATTTACTCACCATTCATATTTGTTTTTTTTGAAAGAAAAGTGTTTTACTCTGAATGACCTTCTCATTCATCATGGTATTTCATCGAGTTAGTCAAAACTAGTAGGATAAGCATCAAAATTAATGCATGGTAAAATAAATAACAATATCGAAAAATTTAAAACAGGTGTTCACTTGAAGCTAATCAACTCTAATACTCCATAAAATAATATGATAATCATGTATTTGTAATATCCCAATGAGTATAAGATCGAATTTATAGCTCATTTTTGTATTGGTTGTTTGGATCTTTTTATCAATGTTTAAGACTGCAGTTGATCAATCTCTTATTGGCACATGAACATCTTATGCGGATCGCCTCGGTATTGCCTTAAGTCACAAGTAGTATAAGCAAAGATGGACCGTGGCTAGCAGTAGGATCCAGGACGTGCGTTCCGTCCTATTTGGGACTCGCCAGTTGGATGTGCTTGCATCCCAGAGTTAATGTTCTCTCTGGGACTGGAATCCAGTACCATCCGCCCCGAACGCCATCCCGTTATCGAATTAGCTACCGGGTCCAGAGATTGATTGATCGGTTGCAGTTCTAAATATCAATGGGCAGATTCAGACAACCAATTGCACAGGATATTGGCTATCAGGACTCTAGCTAGGTGGATAACACGATTGCGTTTAAAATGAACGGTACTGGATTCGAGTCCCTAAGCTGACGTCAACCCTGGAATGCAGGTACATCCAACTGACGAGTCTCAAACGTTGAATTCAACCTCATTCACCACATGTAAGGAAAACAGAAAATTCTAAGCCCCCTCCGTTATGCCCCATACTTTTCCTAGTTCTGTCAAATCTCGTATTTGGCTCAGATATGTAGGTGACATTTTTATCATCATTGAGGAACTTTCTTAGCACTGATAAGTACTTTCTCGGCACATGTCAAATTCACTTTCGAAATCGAAAATAAATAGTGAACTACAACTTTCAAACTATTTAGCTAAGAGTGATGCAAATAGAATCATAGATCTAACCGTCTATTACAAACCAATACATTTCAGCCCATCTTTACATGAATTCCGATTCTGTACACCCTTCCAGTGCAGAAAATTTCCTTGGTTCTTAGTTTACTCAGTTGAGCTAAAAAATTATATTAAAGAGCGATAAATATAAGGAGCATAATGATATAATAATCATCTTTTCATTTAATAATTTCCATATGAATATCATCGGAAATGTATTAGAAACGAAATGAATATGATTGAATTTTGTAAATTAGTTCAAGGAATCAACCTCTGTTATGTGCAAGTTTCTTGTCGGTCTTATCCTGTGAATAATATTAAATGAGGATTCTGATTTAGATAGATGACCGGAATTGACTAGATGTTCAACGATCGAGCTATTGACTGATTTATACTATATGTGAAGAAAATAACTCTAAATAGGATTGTACAACTCTGGTAAATAACATCTTCGAAAGGAATTTTCTGCTGAAACGTCTTCATTTTGTGTAATGACTTAATGGGTTTTGAAATATGTTTGTCGTGTAATATTATTTGCAGTGCTGTTCAGTATATATTGAAAGTCGTCTTCGGTTTTTGGTGCGTTATGTTGTAAAAAAGTTTTAGATGTATTTTCCCATGCTTGTTTTGTAAGATGTTACCCAATGATAAGTCGTCATGTGGAGTGGCACTATACTGGGGCATGAAAAATTGTCTACCTAACAAAAAAGAATTATTACAACATGCAGAGTTTGTTCTACAGCCTTTCATTCAATACCCTTCAATTAAAAGTGTAAATACTTTAGCAATAATACTAATAATTTCTGTTTATTGAAACATTTTGCTCTTCAATAGGGTTATTGTAATGGAGGAAAACGTATCGGATGTACACAACCACGTCGTGTTGCTGCCATGTCAGTAGCTGCTCGAGTTTCACAAGAAATGTCTGTTAGACTTGGATCTGAAGTGGGATACAGTATTCGTTTTGAAGATTGTACTTCAGAGCATACAATAATAAAGTACATGACAGACGGCATGCTTTTGCGTGAATTTCTCACAGAACCAGATCTGGGCAGTTATTCGGTAATGATTATAGACGAAGCACATGAACGTACATTACATACAGATATACTGTTCGGTTTAGTAAAGGTAAACTATTATTGATTGAATCATTTTCCTCTTTTTCTATCATGCGGACTAACAGTTTCAATCTATTCGCTAGTATTCAAGGTCTTATGATACTTTCAAACTGTCTACATAAAAGTACAGTATAAACATTTAATTAATCAATTCATTGCTTAAAAGTTAAAATGTATATATTGTTAAGCCACAATAAATCACATTTTACTCTACTTTATAGTGATTTCTAACCAAATGACGTGAAACAACCACTCATCATTTTTCTTGTCTATTCAACTACTTTTTTGCTAAATGTTCATCAGCTTTTATTCAGGAAATTGTTTATTAATCTCTATGTCATACATATTCTAAGTAATAGTTTATGCGACTACTAAATTAGTCAGTTTGTAATTAGAGTAGCGCAATTCGGAATATTATCCAAGAAAGTATTGTCATATTTGTAAATATATATCTGGATGGATCTACCTCTTTAATTAGAATGAGATAATTTTGCGTTAAATTTTATTTTTAAAAGATTCTCTTAATTTCATACTACTCATATAAGTGTATTTCAAGGCGGAAAAAATCAAAGTATCACTGAATTATACCCAAACTTATCTAATTAATATAACTTCTCACGTAACTTTTCCACCACTCTAATCTGATCGAATAAGTTCCAATCATATTTATTTTGCAGTATAAATTGAAGCGCAAAACATTACTCATAAACTTTAAAAGTAAAAAATTCTCTATTCCCGATTCGTTTCCGTTTATTTAGCTATGAGAATTTACTGTATTTATTAAGAAATTAACGTTTTTTCCCAAGTTTTTTTCTCAATATTATTTTATCATAACATTCTATACCCATTATGTTTGGGCATTATTATCTCTACTGTAGCATAGTGATAGGCTAATGTTCTAACAGGAGTGAATTGTTGATGATATTTACTTTATATTGGCTTATTATTACAGTTATCTTCATATATATGATTGATACATCAAGTGAACTTAAAATATACACCTGTATTAAATTTTATTAGTAATAGAATATTTATGGAAAATATTCTATTACTAATAAAATTCAATGGTCAGTGTATGATATGTTGTCGTGGTATGAAAGAAATCTGCAAAGGGCTGGCTTGTGTTGGTCCTTCACGACTCCCTGGCTGGGGTCCGAGATATAGTGCAACAACACAGTGGCTAGAGACGTTATCAGATATGGCTCAGAATAGAAGTCAGTGGCGATCCTTCTGTAACCTTTTACTTTCTTCATAAGAAGTGGTTGCTTCTTCCGTAGCTGAAAGATTTCTTCTGATTGTACCTTTCGTTCCCCCCACTATTATTATTATTATTATTACGTTACCTTACCTTATTCTGTTCGTTATTGTTCTTTTTTTACGCTCCTCACCTTTTTTCCTTCTCCTCTTCGAATTCCTATTGCTTTGTGTGGTGCATATATATTGGTGCCCTCTTGTTTTTTTTATTTTATTTCAACACATAGATAATGGTACAAAGAGGCACCAAATACATGTGCGCCACACAAATCTCATTCGATATGTGTGAGGGCTATGATACTGCCCGGGTACCCAAACCGAAGCAGGTGGTTCTCTTAGGGGGCCACACCCCGACCCTTTGACCTAAAGGTCTAACCCACAAGGCAGTGGAGCATCGTAAGGAGATGCGATCCCATGGTAGCCGGTGACCAACGACTGGTTCATACGCCATTTGTTCCCGCAGGATACTGGTGCCCATGTGCACCATTGGTTTTGAATCCGGTTAAAGCGCCGGACATTCGCTTTTCGTCCTCTCATTTTCGTAAACAACCCCCGCCACGAGAAGGCAGTGAGTAGGACTTCCCTGTCAGAGGCTATATACGCGTGGCCGTGTGAGAGCATTTCGAGAGGGAGAGCGGACTCTCCCCACTCTCGGCCGTACCAGGGCATTTGGGGGCTAATATTTATGTGTTCAAATAAATAAATAAATTATTAATAATAACTGTCAACATAAGTGTTGAACTATTCATAGAGTACAGTCTTATTCATTAACAGATATTTATATTATTTCGATCCAGTAGATTAATTATGCAAAAGTAACATCTGAACAAAAATTTACAACTATTCAAGTAACAATTTGATAATAAACTTTTGAGGTACGTGTGATTTAACATGAATATTTGTTTTTTTCTATTCACAAAACATCATTGTCTATTTAACATATTTCCTTTTAAAAAAATTTAACTTTTCAAGGATGTAGCTCGTTTTCGATCCGATTTGAAACTTCTAATTAGCTCTGCTACTTTAGATGCAGAAAAATTTGCTACATTTTTTGATGATGCTCCTGTATTCCGAATTCCAGGCCGTCGTTATCCAGTTGATATCTACTATACAAAAGTAAGTTTTGAAATAGTTTGTTCGACATTATCGGTCTTAAGTCTGTTTTGAATATTTCAATGTATTAACTAAAATGATCAGTCTTCATTTTGTTTTGTGAAGTTTTGAAAAAAAATTCAAATATGATCGAAAAATTGATCATCACTGTAAAATTATTTTGTATGTAGCAGTCTAGTTTATTAAATAAGAACTTTCGTCTAAATTTGAACGAATAGTTTCACAATATTTGAGATTTTACAAATATATTATTCTTTTTAAGTCTAGTTTATTTATCAATAATATCTTGAGTCTTGATTTGTAACTTTTATAGTAGTTGTTTTTGATGACTTAGTGTCACGATCTACTTTGTAGTGCTAATCACTAGCTTAGTGGTTAAACCAGTAGGTCAGAAGTTCGAGCTTTCCTGTACCTGATTCGGTTTAGATGGTTGGACAACATCGATATCCCTCTTATAAGTTATGCAACTCAAGCTGACTACTTAAACCTGGGATTGGTAGGTCAGTTACAAACGTTATGCACTTCTATAATGCAACCAAGTGGGTTGGTCGTTTAGTGAATAATCAATTTAATTCATTTACCGGGTACACCTTCGTGTACATGCGTTTAATTACACTCTGAGCGTAGGGGATAGCAGTGTTATCCGATTGTCCAAACCAAACTATATAGAACGGGGTTCGAACGTGCAACTTAGGGGCTAACAGTCGAGTTCCTTAGTCACTAAGTTGTGCTCCACTATAATAATAAACAAATTTTACTGAATAAAATGAATGAATAACAATTGTTTCCTCGCGCGTAAAAGTTTTAGCTTTGGTTAATAAGTCTACAAGGTGACTCAAGTTAATTCACACAAGTAGATACGATTGAACTGGCCATTTTGTTTACAAAATTTTAGTACTTAATTAAAAAATTGACTCGGCCAGTTGTAAATCTATGTATCTTCTTATTATCCCATCTTATCTCATATTAATTTGTATCACGATAAATACAATGTAATTTGAGTGATGTACTTTGGTGACATAATTTTGAGTCAACTTGCTACTACGACTAATGTAAGATTAAGTTTGAAACAGATCGGAAAAATCCAAGGTTCATCTGGAAAAGTTTAAACTCCTTTGAAAATGTGAACTATTGTTAATTAAACATCGAAGATTATGCTAAAGATGTATACTCACCTTTGATTTTCCAATAAATTTTTAAGATTGTATTATTATACACTTTCATTTCATATCTTTATTCCTTATTTTTAATGTTGGTGGTATGTTTATATTTATTTATCTATTTGATCTTGTCTTGATTTTGCCTTCTGCTTATGTGAAATGTGACAACATGAACTGTTTTACACAACCGTAACACATCCTATATTATCTATCAGTCTCTGGTGTTGCCAGAAGTAAAGAGGTTGTTGCCACTTCTCAACTGCTCATGCCATGGAAGGATGCATCATCTTGAAGAAAATGAAACTGAATTAAAAATAATCGTAGCATTACAGTAAAGCCTAAGAGATAACTACCCGAGTCCGGTAAAACGCGTGTTTTATCGCGACAAGTTTTCTCTAATTTTTTACCTTCCTACTTTAAAAGCTTTACCGCCAGAAACGGAAATCCGTGAGGTTAAGTGAGGTGTGACATTTTTAGGGCTGACCTTTAATCTTTTGGTTGTGAGGCAGCATCGCTGTGGATGCCGGTTATCCGATAGAAAGAATCTACTACCGTTGCACCCCAGTAAAGTCAGCAGTATGACTTCGGCCTTGAACTTTTAGTTTGACTGTCTGTCTGCTGTTTTTGGAAAATTATACTAGTCCCTATTGGATTATAAATATTTTTTGTTTTATTGGGTTTTATTTTCTAGGCTCCAGAAGCTGATTATATTGAAGCTGCTATCATATCTATTCTTCAGATACATGTAACTCAACCTCCAGGTGATATTCTAGTCTTTTTAACTGGTCAAGAAGAAATTGAGACTGCCAATGAGTTATTAATGGAGCGTACAAGAAAACTTGGGAGTAAAATTCGTGAATTAATAATTCTACCTATTTATTCTAGTCTTCCATCTGATATGCAGGTATATATACATTTGTTTTTAATTACTTCATTATATTTTTCACTTTTGATGGGTTTTATTTTAAGTAAGCTTCGTTTTTTAAAGTAAAATTCATTACAAGATGAAAAACAAGTTACGTCATTTTACTTGTACGTAGCTATACGCTTGCATTATAAAGCAAAGTCTATAGATAGCTTATTTCTTGAGCTATTGACTTATTGGTGTGATAGTTTGAGTTTTAATTAGCATTTATCGAAATCATGTATACTTTTTTGTGTAATTCTTCAGATCCCCTTTAGAAGTGGTAAATTCTGCGAGATTCTTGTTCATTTATTTTTATTTGTCCCGAAAATCACTGCTAAACTTCCGAAATGTATTTGCACCAACAGTCTCAAAATCTGGAGGGATTCATATCAACCGAGTTACCGTATTTAAAAAGCACTTGATCGGTGTGCTAATAAATTCCTAGCTGCTTTCTAAATCGCCAGGACTCTCCCACACTTGAACCCTGTACAAGATGGAAAAGGCGTGAATTAGGAAAGGATTATGTACTGCAAGGTTAGGTAATGTACAAAAAATAAGCGTATTCATAGAGTTATTGCTAACCTTTGACCTATGGAAACTTCTCCAGGCACGGCAAATTAAGTAATAGAGTAAGTGATTACTCAGTCAGAGTGTGTCGCGTAATCTGCTAGTTTCCTAAGTTTTTTGGCATATACTAATTGGACAAAATGTTCTAAGCCTTTTCTTAGCTTCTGAAGACCATATGGAGGAATTCTCTGGGGGATCTGAGAGGCATTGCGTCGATAAACCACCAATCAGTTGGTTTGTACCTCTATATTTGTCTACAAAGTCGCCTATTATTGATTTATAAAGAAAGTTGATTATATTTTTTGTCAGGGGGTGTTAAGACCTGTCCAGTTTGAAGATTGTACAAGTTCTGCAATATTCATTGGTAATGGATATTCCAAAGACCATTTAGAGAATTGATTTTCTTTTGTGAATTATCTACTAGTATACTCTTTAACCTTAAATTCAATTTACCAACTAGAAATAAGAAAATTATGCAGCTGGATTAAATATCGACCAACCTAAATGGTTATCACGTATTGATTTTGCAACATTAAGGATAGACTTACCGTTGGTAGAACATGTTGTTATCCTAATTGTCGAAAATGTAATGATCACGCTTAGCTGGTTCTCTCGTGTAACATTTGTAATCTCTTCAGCGTAAATATTTATTTCGAAAAACCTAAAACGATTGAGATTTTCCAAAACCATCAATCTTTGTCATTTTTTGTTGAAAGATAGGTATATTGCAATTATATTATTAAGTTTTTGGATAGAGCTCCACTAAACATGTACTATTCAAACTGAGAAATATATATTCTAGTCTACGATCTTTATAGCATGGAATCAAAGTATGGCTTTGTTGCATAGAATAGTTCTAAGTTGTTTTCGATTGTTTAATAATATTTCTCTCTTCGCTATAGAGTTTGTTCAATTTACTCTTCGTGGTAGGTAGTAATGGGCACTGGGGGATTGAAACCGAATGTATCGACTCAATCAAAACGTGTCATTTTTGGCATTAATACACTTAATCAACAAATTATTTGGTATACATATATATCAGAGTAAATTCTACTTTTATTTAGTTCTAATTCAATTGACGAATCACACTTTTGTATTTATCACAGTAAAAATAACTAACAAAATGACAGTGGGAAAACAAATCCACCAATTAAATTGTAATTCATGTACTATTTTTATTGGCTAGTTCGTTTTTAGCTTTTAAGATAAGGCAAGCAAATTTCTGTTCTTCTTCGTTAGAGATCATTTAGAATTCACAATAATTATATGAAAACTATGACAAGAAATCTTTATATTAACAAACCTTTTTTATGTGATTTTGTTTATTGGTCAAATGCAATTGTTTGTTTATTTTTTATTGAATGACAAATAGCGAATTAACTAAATACATTAAACAGCTTAAAATTTGATGTAATTTTCTGTCATCTCTAAATTACCAGGCGAAAATTTTCGCACCGACACCACCAGGTGCTCGAAAAGTTGTCTTAGCCACAAATATCGCTGAAACATCACTTACAATTGATGGTATTATTTATGTTATTGATACTGGATTTTGTAAACAAAAATTTTATAGTGCACGTTCTGGTGTTGAATCATTAATAGTTGTTCCAATATCACAAGCTGCAGCCGATCAAAGAGCTGGACGGTGAGTGATTTTTAATGGTTGATTTATTTCTGGCTAGTAAATAATTTGACTTTTGTAAAATTTACTTTAATGGATGTTTGAGGTATCAATTCGGTTATCTAAGTTCTCAATAACATTTTTTAAATCCATTCACTTGATAATTAAATTAGGTATTAACTGTTATATTAACAGTGTTGATAGACACAGTATCGGTGTTCAAAGCATTTCTTGGCTGCTAGATGAAAATATTTCACAAAATCTATGATGCAGAAGTAAAAGCAATCTCAGAGTATAGCATATAATTATGTATTTGTCGAATATTGTCATTAATTATCATTTTGAATTTTAGGCACATAATAAAAACTGTTAACATTATAATTAGGGTGATACCTGGTTGTTTTGTTTTTATAACCCACACTACAATAAACTTTTACTGTGTAGCAATGTTTTCATTATGAGATTATCGGTCATAATTGATGTACTTTTGTTAGTCAAGGAATGGGATACTGATGACAACGACTACTGAGAATAGCAAACATACACAAGCTTCTCTGCCTTACTTAGTAAACATTGTTCTGGAAACTAACTTAGTACACTTACTTCTATTGTATGTCCAAAATTTTCGAAATACTTAGAAGGAAGTAGTTAATTAAAACACCAAACATGTAAGATAAAAGAATATTTGATAGTAGTAAAAATAAATAACATGTAGCTTAGTAGATTCTTGGTGGAGAATCGTCAATTTTAAATTCCCAAATATTATTACAGTTTAACTTCTTTTTATCTACCTCAAAATCTAGTTTTATTTATTTATTCAAACATATAAACATTGGTACAAGAAGGCACCAACTATATATATGCTCCACACTTCGCCATCCGATTTTTGTGAGGTCCGGAATACTGCCGTAGGGCTCAAACCGAAACAGGCGGTTTCCTTGGGGGTCCACTCCCCGAGCCTCTGATCTAGATGTCTAATCCACAAGACAGTGGAGCAACGTGAGAAGATGCAGTTACATGATAGCCTGTGACCAACAATAGGTTCATACACCATTTGTTCCGATCAGGATCTTGGAGCCCATGTACACCATTGATTTGGAATGGGGGTTTCCCTATTCCTCTATGTGGTTCCTCTACATCCAGCAACCCAAATAAAGCTTTAGACATTCGTTTTTCATCCTCTCAGTTTCATAAACAACATCCTCATCGCGAAAGGTGGTGAGTAAGACTTCCTTGAGAGTGGTTGTGAAAGCATTTTGAGGGGTAGAGCCGACTCTCCCCACCTTCGGTTTTATCAGGGCATCTAATTTATTTAAATATATTTGACTAGATTTCATCTTACCAGCCATGTTATGTTTTGTATCATATTATTTTGTGCCTTACAGAATATTGTCATTCGGTGAAGATATTTGTTTCTTTTTCTTCTAATAGTAGTAGTAGTTTCGAGAAACATTCAGAATTGCTTGAACATTTAATACTGAAAGCGTTAATGTCACTCAGTGTTCTAAGAGCAATAATGTTAAGATTACTCGAATTCGTTTACTTTCATTATTTGATCCACATTTATCATATGTAGGTTAAAAATCCTCTTCCTCAAGTGATAAATGTTTCATATCCGTTGATTTAAAGTCAGCTGTTACAGTTGTCGAGCTCGGTACATATAGTACAAGAGGGAAGATTATGTGTATCAAACTGTTTGTCACTATACCTTTATAATAAGATGTAGTGGTTGATGACAGAATAATTATTTCAAATTAACATATGTTAATGACAATTTCTTTTGTATACAATTTTAATTCACAACTATTTGTTATTCATATAGCTGACGTTGTCAGGTATACTACATTGGTACTCTTAACTTATTCATGAGGATAAAAGCTGTTTTTTTAAAAAACGAGAATATGTACATGTTTGTACCGCGATAGACTGGTGTACATCAACTCTCAGATTTCATTCGTCAAATCCTTTCTGTAAATTGTTTTTCAAAATTTATTTAATAACTTCAAAATGTAGCTCACGATATAGGTGTTAGGAGTGTTGTTGTTTCTAAGTTGGATGGTTAGATTATTAAGCTTTCATTGTTCTTCTAAACAATATTATCAGCAAGTAATTCGGAGATGTGGGGTATTAGAATTTCTTTGCAATTAATTAACAGCTCGTTTTGTTGACCAAATACCAGGTCACTTCTCTCTGAAGTGCGTGCTGATGATTTTGGTCAGAGGAACAATGAAAACTTCACAATCTAACCATCCAGCTCAGAGACCATAACATCAACTTAATTCATTTAGAAAATCTAGTCATGAGATTTTGTTTATTTCATTTGTGAACAGCTCAAGTATTTTAGATAATAGGATTAGTTACATTTTCTTATTTATGTGTTTATACATATATATTATAGTGCTGGACGTGTAGCCGCAGGCAAATGTTTTCGTCTATACACTTCACATGCTTACCATACGGAATTAGATCCACAACCTATTCCAGAAATACAACGTACAAATTTAGGCAATGTTGTCTTATTACTTAAATCTCTTGGTATTGATGATCTGCTACATTTTGACTATATGGATCCCCCACCACATGATGCTTTAATTATGGCATTAGAACAATTATACGCCTTGGGTGCATTAAATCATAAAGGTGAACTAACTAAAATGGGTCGTCAAATGGCTGAATTCCCATGTAATCCACAATTATCAAAAATGATTTTAGCCTCAGATAAGTAAGTTTTCGTTTAAAATGTTTGGATATTATATACACTTCCGCAAATTATCTCAAAAAAGTTTTGTGGTGTTAGATGCTTAATTATTCTTGTTGAATGCAAAATCCTAACCGAATAAGTCGTCTATAAGTTTATACGCATCGTTGGTTTTCATGGGATTTCTGCATTTGTATTTCCACTGTTTTACAGGTTCATATTTTGAGTTGAATGTTTTAAAAATGGATATTTTCGTTCTCACCAAAATCATGTTTCTTAATTATTAATTTACGATAAAAGCAGGTAGATATTTAAATAAAAACCCAGCTGTTTGCTGTATCTGGTAAACTATAATAATAATGGTTTATTTATATATATTTGGGTGACCAGATGAAGATAGAATTATTGGATTGGATTTACTTACTTACGTACGCCTGTTATCTCTCGTAGATCATATGCTGCCGACTAGGAATCACTACCCGACTCTGTCCTGTGTTCTCCTTTCCAGTTGTTCCAAGTGCTATTCACTATTTCGATAACTCCCTCTAATTCCCTGCGCAATATTTTCTTTAGCCTGCTTCTCTTTTTGCCTTGAGGATTTCAAGTTAGGACATACTTTGTGAGGCAGTTTGATGATTACCACAATGTGTCCGCTATCCACCTTCAGCCGAATCCGATTTAATTAGTAGATAATAAGTTCACAATTTTGTAGGTGATTAGTAAACACTTCTCTGGTTTCATTAGTGTATAGCCCAAGAATAAATCGTCTTAATATTTTATTACTAACCAGTTAACAATCTCTTCGACGTCGGTAATTTGATGTAATAATCAGTTGCAATTTTATTCACGTTCAGTTTACTTACACAAATCCTGTTTTGTAGACTAGTATTTTGATTACCGGAAGAAACAATCAGTTGTATATACACTAGGATACAATTGGAAACCAGATAGAGTTTTGAATACAGTCACATTATACCGAAAGTTAATGTTGGTCAAAAGTAGTCTATAATTTCCGAAAAAAGTTAATACCTGTAGCTAACATGCAACTATTGGTCAACTAAACCACTCTTTTCCATTCATGAATTAGCGAACTCCGCAATCAGGTTTGCATCTAACATCATAGTGTTTGTTGTATTCTTTCAGTTTAATGTTAAAAATCTCACTTTGTTACTTTTAAATGTCGTTTAAAATAACGAAGAATCACTAACTTTTTGTCACTTGGTTTTTCTTGTACTTTAAGGGTAACACACTGAAACAATATGTATTATGTAAAATTTTCTGTATTTAATTATTGATAGTATAATTAAAGTTTATATTTATATTCTTCATGATATATTGTTATGATTTATGTTATGTTGGCATTACTACCAGAACACCCAAAGAATGTAAATAATTTTTCTTAAATGTCGTCATTGTTTGAACATCTAATCTAAAATATATATAGTCTACGGTGGACTGTTGTAAGAGAGATACGTCATTATGTTAGCTGATACTCAAGATACGTTTATACACTAGTTGTTTCTTCATTTCCATTTCTGATACGTAGAGCTTCCCTTGTATATATATACATTATATTCGCGAGACTATGAAAATATTTTCAGAAGGTTGGTTATTCTATCATACATACGCGGTTACAGATAAGCAGTTGCGTCATCAATTATTTGTTCAGGCAATCCTATTTACAAAGCTTATAAATGTATTCATCTGCAAGGTGTTTATTTATTTAACATGTAGTTTAGTAGATTCTTGGTGGAGAATCGTCAATTTTAAATTCCCAAATATTATTACAGTTTAACTTCTTTTTATCTACCTCAAAATCTAGTTTTATTTATTTATTCAAACATATAAACATTGGTACAAGAAGGCACCAACTATATATATGCTCCACACTTCGCCATCCGATTTTTGTGAGGTCCGGAATACTGCCGTAGGGCTCAAACCGAAACAGGCGGTTTCCTTGGGGGTCCACTCCCCGAGCCTCTGATCTAGATGTCTAATCCACAAGACAGTGGAGCAACGTGAGAAGATGCAGTTACATGATAGCCTGTGACCAACAATAGGTTCATACACCATTTGTTCCGATCAGGATCTTGGAGCCCATGTACACCATTGATTTGGAATGGGGGTTTCCCTATTCCTCTATGTGGTTCCTCTACATCCAGCAACCCAAATAAAGCTTTAGACATTCGTTTTTCATCCTCTCAGTTTCATAAACAACACCCTCACCGCGAGAGGGAAAGGTACTTACACTGAAAATTTTCTGTTATAGCTTGATTTTGTTTTTGAGTAACGTACAAATTCCTTTTTCGTTTACTCCCCAATAAAGGTATAAATGTTCCGGTGATATTATCACTATTGCGTCTATGCTTTCTGTAAATAATGCCATCTTCTATAGACCGAAAGATAAATTAATTCATGCAGATACTGCACGAAAAAGTTTTTCTCATATAGCCGGTGATCATATTATGCTATTGAATGTTTATAATCAGTGGGCAGAATCTGGTAAGCTTTCAATTCTCACAATTTAATATCGAGCAATTAAATTAAATTTAATTAGTTTCATAAGTATAGTGTATCCGGCGTTATATTACTTATGAACGGAATTGATAGACAGGTATTAACTTATTATTCTTTCTTGTTTATTAACTCAAAAACTTCTAGTTCAACGGTAATTCATACTAAAGTCATTTTCTACCAATAATGACTGATCACTAACAGAACTGAAATAAAAATGTATGTCACATCATTTCGCTTTTTGATTGCTTCATCTTCAAGGTGGGTGTAGTTGGTGTTTGATTAATTATTGAACTGTCAAACAGTAATTAAGCGCCTAAAAATCTTTTTATCTACCTAGATTTAAACAGTCTGCGACTGTCAGTGCTACTCATACAATAAGTAGGGATCATTGTTTTAGACTAGTCTCTCCATACGGTTACTGAGTTAAATATTCTTTCATTTATTACTTAGTATATTTAACTGATAGATTGTACATTTATACTACTAATCTTTACAATATCTCTATTGGTAAAGTAACATGGATATGAGGTGAACACTTTTATTGTCAGTTAATTATCCTTTATAGTATGAAATAATTACTAAGGAGTAAAAAATTAAGTTTTTCACTAATTGTTTCCTTATCAGTAATAAATATAGTCTTTTATGAACTTCAACAATAAATTCGAACTTGTTGAAATTCTTTATTATACACCTTACTACTTTAAAATTAGGAAAGTAGCATAATTAGTATGTCAAGTGTAAACAGTGCCTGTCGTTTGAAGGTTTTTTTCTGTTATTTCAATTTCTGAGTAAAAAAGCAGTTACATCCAGTTGACATGTCCCAAATGGGAGGAAACTCACGTCCTTCTATCCACCATCTGCCTCTGCCTGGAAAGCTTTATAGTCTTTATTTTTAACTTATAGCATGTGGAAATCATTCTGTAGTCATTTGATTGTTGAGTTGTTTTAAGTGGTTTTCTGGACTCGAACAGAAACATATCCATTTAGAGTTTTTCCGTATTTAAATTGTATAGATTTATTTCCCATTCATAACAATAGCATTTCATTTGTAATGCACTATTTATCCGATAAATTAGGAGATTATCACATCATTTTCTTCCAGCTGATCCTATCTCCTAGACCAAATGATTGGTATATTTGAAAAATATGTTATATTTCAGTATTTACGTGTATATGAAAAGCTTCCTCGTGGATTTCTATGTTAGCTTACCTTATGGTTTATTGATTAGCGTATTCCATGTATATGGCCCATCTCATTATATTTCAGTACTAATGTAAAGGTTTAATGACCAGTTCGACCGTTTAATTTACGGATTCATATATTTCATCGCTCTTGTATTTCATTGAAATCTCGAGCCGATCCAAGTCCGACAACCATTAAAAACCTGGAAGTACTGGAAGACTGTTTCGGCCTAGTATGGAGCTCCCCAGCAGCGCGCATCCACGACCCGGAACTTCGGTCTTACACGCGAACACTTCTAAACTACTGAGCCGGAATGTGTTATATTCGATGGCTTACAAATCTAGCTTTTTCGTGTGGTTAAATACTATTACTTCTTTTTGCAATAAGGTTAACATATATGGATTACAAATCCATGTATGTTTTTGTGCTATATCTCAAATATTTTAGTCAGCAAATGTTTGGAATGATATAGACGATGCGCTTTATCGTCGCCTAAAATTCATTGAAAAAGTAATGACAAAGACGCTAATTTTCTGATGTGAAAATAAAACCTTGTTATTCCATAATAAAAATTTTCAGTTTTTGGCGTTGCCAAGTTCTTTGAACTTGATTGCAGAAATTTTCGTTGTCGTTACAGATGGTATTATCAGCACTTCCTTCCTATATATATTTATTACCATTTGACTATACTTAAATGACTTTCAGTGTAGACAGATTTTGGATGACATTTTACATATCATCTTTGATAAATCGATTAAGACTCGTTAGTACATGTAGACATAATACTAACAGATGCTATAGTTTTAAGTGATCTCTTCTTACATAGTGGTATGTCCAGAAAATACGTGAACTGAACTACCAAATATTTTTAACAAAATTTTGTGTAGAAAACAAGAAATGTATGATATAATAAGGTTTTTTGTGGAAATAGTCTTCTGAATATAGTCTACTTAAATACTGATGTTTGTAAAATTCAATTTTTATTCACATTTTAGATTTCTCTTCTCATTGGTGTTATGAGCAGTTTATTCAGTATCGAACTATGAAACGAGCCCGTGATATTCGTGATCAATTCGTAGGTTTGTTAGATCGTGTTGAGATTGATCTAGTGAATAATCCACATGACCATGTGAACATTCGAAAGGTAACTAGCTATATAATCTATCGTGTTGTATTAATAATTCATACGGATTTGACTTACAGTGTTCTTTTTCTTGTTCTGAAATGATCTGTCTTTCTCAACAAGAATCAGTTGCATAATTAATAGGAATTATTAATTAATATTTAGGCTTAGAGTTATATATTGAAAAAGCTTGTTACAAAATTAATCGTAATAAGTTGACAGATTAGTGTTTGATTGATAATGTGTCAATAGAATACTTTTATAAGTTAATAATGGGTCACTAACTATGAAAGGGGGTTACATCACTCATTGAAGTTGATGTTTAAAATTGTACTGAATATCTTTAAAGAGGATATAGTACTTTCAGAAGTTATGCATAATAGTTTATGAATTTGATTTGAACTTTTTCAATTGAGTCATGTTGTCTTCTGTGTCCAATAACGATTTAAGCAAATCCGTATGTTTTGTCCTATGCTAGTATTTTATCTTATAAACTGTGAAACTTTCATACTGTAAAGAAAACTATCTGACGTGATTGAATTATGATATGTAAACTATTAAATGCTGAATCTCCAGAAGACCTGTTGTTCCTATGCTTCCATCCCCTTTAAGGTTATGAATTTGCACTTCTAATGAAACCCTTACTACAAAAGTGTTTTCTTTCTGTCATTTTCTTATCATGTTCCTTCTGTTTTTATTTTATTCCTTGTTCTTTATTATTTTGTTGTTATTAGGCTATAACTGCTGGATTTTTCTATCATACAGCACGATTCACTGGTGATGGTTATAAAACAGTAAAACAAAAGCACACAATTTATCCACATCCAAATTCATGTCTATCTGAAGCATTGCCAAAATGGGTTATCTATCATGAATTGGTATATACAACTAAGGAATTCATGCGTCAAATTATTGAAATTGAATCAAAGTGGCTATTGGAAGTTGCACCGCATTATTATAAAGAAAAAGAAATTGAATATACTACTGAAAAAGTTTCTAGGAATAAAGGTAAATCACGTGCAGAATTGGAGCCAAGTGAAGGTGTCTAATGATAATGAAAATAAAACACGACATGTACATTTTGTGATTTAAAGCGAGGCAGACAGACAGATGGAGACTTAAAATGTATATTTTTAGAGTTGTACATTTTCATTTTGACTTTGATATCTCTTTTTTTTCTCAAGGAAAAAAGTGATTTCTGTACAGTTTTGTATTTTAAAGTTTTAACTTAGATTATTCAATTTTTACAGAAAGGAAATATAAAGATTGATTCAGATAACTATGTTTTTTGTAATTAGCTTTTCATCATCGTGAGTCTACACATATATACAACTTAAAATTATCAAACTGTATGTAAATAGTCACTTGTCAAAAATTCATGGAAATTTTAAACAATGCTATCTAGTAGCATAGGGGATAATGTTTTGTTCGTTTTAGTGATGTCTATTTAACTGAAGTCTTGTAGTAGATGCTTACATGATAATAGGGATTTGTCTCAAACGTGATGTAACATATACATATATAATTTTCAGTGTAACCCTTATTACTTGTAAGTAGTTGAGAAATCAAATGCAAATTCTATTATTTTGTCCAACCGCTTAAATGAAAGTAGATAAATTTATAATAGTCTGGCTTCAGTATAACAATCAACACTGCAATACAGGTTCATCCAACTGGTTAGTCCACTATAGAATGCGACTTACATGTCCTATTTCACTGTTGGCCACAAACCAACTTAACTAAAAATATATGAAGTTATGATAGGCTGGTTATTGGAATTCAATTAAATAACTCAACATCGACGTATTTACTATGTCACCTAAAGACCTTAGACTTTAATCTATCAAATATTAGCTGTATCCACTGTTAAATATTCATGAACTCTGTTATTCTGGGATTTTTATTGACCACTCAATAATAATACATCAGTAAATTAACAACAGGCTCATGAGTATAAGCCTTTACAGCCTATTCATCATATAAAATATGTTCTAGATATAGTATTATAGGGCTTTCGTTTGCGTGCATGGATTCTTATGCGTATGCATCTTGTTCTGCCGAATAATATACAAGAAAAAAGCGGTTATAAAAGATTCACTGCACATCTTGCTAATTTCTTTAAAAACTGTAAAAACCAATAACATGGTGGGAAACAGGAAATTGTGATGGGTAATATACAAGAACTTACAAACCATAAAAGTGTTGAATAGTGCCGAAAACGTCTCATTTTTGTGTGATAAATCGGATGGAATCCCTCCAATATTGACAGCATGAGAAAACTCAGAGGTCAAAAAAAGCTTACACATATTTAAGTGACGTTTGACTTAGTTTTTACTACACAATCTCCAAATTTGTGATTCTAACAGGGTTTTTAAGTACTTTTCATATCCCAGGCTAAAAATTTAACTATGATATTTAGAAGGATTAATTGTATGATCATTGGAAATAGATTACCGTTTAACGAAGGCCAAGATTATATTCCTTTCCATATAATTTAAGGAAGGAACTGGCGTACATGCAATAGGATCACACAAGTGTTTTTTTGGTAGATGATTGGTCATGCAGAATAATGGAGAAATAACAGCTCCTTGCGGTACACTGATTTCGGCTAATAAATGAACTACTTTCCTCTAAGCCCAGCACACTTCCAGTAAATTAAGAACACCCCAGTTGCTTATTCAGTTCTTGGTGTTAACACTAGGAAAATTCTTTAATATTCATAGTTATGGAATAGAATCAAAAACAAGTGTAGTCTATAAAGACTAATCTAACATTCTACTCCTTACCAAATTGGAAATTATACACGCTATTGTGCAAGATAACTTCAGCATCCAAAGTGCCTCGTTCTTATCTGTAAACAAACTGATTTAGATCAGTATGTTCCTTCAGTGCAAGTGAGAATAGCGATAGTTTTTGCATCGTTTTTAAAAAAGGTGATGTTATCGCTGTTGGTCGAAATCTTTCATGTTTATCACCAGATACGATATTTGTTATTGGGATTATCTTTAATTTTTTCGACATTTTCAACATGAAATAAGTTGGAAATGATTCATTAAAGATGCTTTTTGATGGGTAAAATAGAACATCTGTACATCTTTTTAAAGAATGGGATTGGAATATCGTCGGTTTCTAAACAATTTGTCGAGTAAAACGACTTGAGGCATTTAAAAATATCATTTTGAGCAAACTTTGTGACTAAATTTCCTCTAATATGGAGAAACAGGGAACATGATACCATATCTTGTATATTTTTCTCTGAGTTATTTAAATGTTTGAATTTCTTTGTCTAGTGAAAAAATGTATTCTTTCCAAGCTTGACACATACTTTAGATGAATTATACAGTGATCACAACTAAGCGGAAGAATACTTTTGCTAGTCGCATATATTCCTACATCTTTAATGAAAACTTAATGTAGAACATTAGAACTGGAGGAGAAATAGACTAGATTCTAGTGACCTAGAGATGAAAGAAAGCTACGTGCGATTGAAAAACCCACTAATGGTAGTAGCAGCAAATTCAGTGAACCCATTAATGCAAACAAATAGTGCAGATAAGATGCATTTGGGAATCACGTAAATGTTGAAAATATAAATACCACTGTATGTGTTTAAATGTTTTCAACAGAAAAAAGTCGATGACATTGTTTAATACATAGATTTATACCAGTTCACATTTACAAACGTGGCTAAGGTATTACTCTACTCTATTTTGCATAGCAACAGTTTGTAGAGATTTATACACTGAACTCAATAGGTTATTTAGTTTCTTTGCATAATTACGGAGTTGAGATAAATTCAAAAATTACTATGTCATTGGTTAAAATATTTGAATGGCAGAAAAAATATGTATACCAGATATTCAAATAGACCATCAAATCTTATTTACTATGAAATTAAATTCTAATCTATGGAAAATATGTTAATAAAAAATTTATTTATTTTCATTTTTATCATTTATAAGAATAAAATAGTAAAGTATGAATGAAACTTCCACACGTCAACTTGGGTAATCTTAGTTGATAATATTTTTTTTGGATCTCTACAAAAGTGGGTTGATCTATTCATTTAATATTATTAGAGGAATATATTTTTATTGAAAGTATTCTATCCCATATGTTATGTAAATAGTCAGGGATATACTACTATTTATTTATTGGTATTCAAAGTAGAATTGATCAGTTCAAAATAGCCTCTCGAAAATATGCTTCAATATTACCTACCTGTATTATCTAATTACATTGTTGATCAGAGATTGAATCAAATGATTCATATTTTGCCTAATAAAAGACTCATCAGCTTGATATATCTCTATCTTAATATTAATGTTTTCAACGAGATTCGAAGCTAGTACATATTAGTCCCATATGTATGTACACTATTCTTTACTCGGCTGTCACATGGATCATTTATTTATTCGCTTGCATGGAATGTCATGTTGATTGAATGTTTCATATTTTTACGTTTTTTTAAATATTTTTGACGGGTTCGCATATATATCATGACAGTTGGACAAGTCGACAGCTCTGAAAATTATGCTGTTCAGTAGATGACTTCATGAGTTCAAGTATCAGTAGCAAAATCAACACTGAAATCCAAGCAGATAACACTGAGGAATTACTTACTTACTTACTCCTGTTACTCCTAGTGGAGCATGGGCCACTGATCAGCATTCACCAATCCACTCCATTCTGGGCCTTCCTTTATGGTTCTGTCCAACTGTTGTTCATTCTTCTTATGTGTGTCTCCATTCCTCGGCGTGATATGTTCTTTGGTCTTCCTCTCCTCCTTTGGCCCTGAGGATTCCATGTGAGGGCTTGCCTTGTGATTCAATTAGGTGCTTTCCTCAATGTGTGTCCTATCCACTTCCAGCGCTTCTTCCTGATTTCTTCCTCCACTGTGATCTAGTTTTTTCTCTCCCACAATAGGCTGTTGTTGATAGTGACTGGCCAACAGATCCGAAGTATTTTTCGTAAACAGCTGTTAATAAACACTTGAATCTTCTAGATGATGGCTTTTTTAATTCTCCAGGTTTCCGCTCCATACGATAGAACTTTCTTGACGATTGTATTGAAAATCCTGACCTAGGTGTTGGTTGACGGTTGCTTTGAGTTCCAAATGTTCTTCAGTTGTAAATATGCTGCTCTTGCTTCGCCGATCCACGCCTTCACATCTACATCAGTTCCACCATGTTCATCAATGATGCTTCTCAGATATGTAAAGGTTTTCACATCTTCCAACTCTTCTCCGTCAAATGTGATTCGACTGTTGCATTTTCAAATCACATTGACGAATCGCAAGTTAGATAAAACATATGCTTCTATATTTCATTACTAATCATCATTTCAACAAATATACTCAATGCTTGTATTATTAAAAATTGAGTACTCTATACTTAAATCGTGACTTTATTCAATAAATTCCCATTAGTTATTTTTTTTCTTTAATATTCATAATGAGAATAAATCAATTTATAATTATCAATAATGTTATAATTTTTAATCTCTAAACCACTTTTTTTCTCATTTTTTCTAAATTTATCGGATTAATTTGTTTAGAATACGGGTTGAACTGATCCAGAGAATTATTGTGAGTGGATAAATAATAAAGGATTGAATATATTCCAATGTTCTTTTTTTCTCTTTTTTAAACGTAACATTGTTAAAAATAGGGAAAAAAAAAAGAAAAAATGATATTCTCTTCTGTTTCTTTGTTTTTCCTAAATAAAATAATAATCGTTTATGTAAAGTGGATTTATTCATTTTATAATTTGTCATTTTTTCTCTTATACACAGTTTGATATGATAAACTTATAGTTGAAATCATGAGTCAGTTGAAGCTAGACCATCATGTAAAACCTGGTCCTAGTATGAAACTCCTCAGCAGTGAGCATCCACAGTCCCGACCCTCACGAGATTCGAACCCAGGACCTATCAGTCCCGCGCTCGGGCGCTTAACGTCTGACCATTAGTGACTGACTCCAAGAGGCATTTCCTGGAGTTCTAGTGAAAAGCCATGACCAGTGGAGTTCAACCAGGTTTGTTGTGAGGTATCAACTCACTGAAGATAATGGTGTACGGTGGCGCAACCTCGTGGATTAGTTGAAGTTAGACATTAACACCGTCGGGTGCCGGCTCAGTGGTCTAACGGTTAAGCGCTTGCCCGCGGGATTGATACGTCCTGGGTTCGAATCTCGCGGGGGGCGGGATCGTGGATGCACACTGCTGAGGAGTCTCGTGCTGGGACGAAACGGCCTTCCAGTGCTTCCACGTTTTCCAT